AGATGACTAAGTATAGAATCTAACATAAAGGAAGTGTTCAGCAAACAGGGGCTACAATGGTAACAGAACTTTCCAGAACCCAGACCTTCAAAAACAGCAGAAAAACAAAACAAAACAAAACCAAAAACAAACCTTGAATACTTCCAGCTCTGAAACTGCATAGTTCATCTAAAATGACACCTACATCAGGGTCACTGAAATCAAGGGAAGTATCCATCTATTATTCTGGGAACAATCATTTGTGAAGGTCAAATGTGAGCAGTCCTTATCAGGTTTTGAGGGGAGAGACCCTTTAGCAGGGACTATCAGAGACTCGCCCCCTGGATAGGGTCTTAAAGGATGAACAGGAGTTCAGCAGATAGAAAAGAAGAAGAGAGACATGCTTTGCCTTTGCTCTCAGCATCCCTGGCAAGTGGCCAGCACTGACTCTCGGCACCAGCTGGGTCCCAGAGAGAACAGCAATGGTGCTGTGAGTTCTGAGTAGAGGTGCGTGGCAGGCCCCACTTCTCACCCTGCTAACGATGACCAAAGTCCATGTCCCCTGGATCCCAACTGAACGAACCACAAGTAGAGACAGCACTCAGAGAAGTTGGTCCTGAGTTCAGAAAGAGTTCTGTAAGGTGATGGCATCATATAAGAAATCAGGTCCAGGATGCCTGGGTGGCTCAGTGAGTTAAGCCCCTGCCTTCGGCTCAGGTCATGATCTCAGGGTCCTGGGATCGAGTCCCACATCGGGCTGCCTGCTCAGCAGGGAGCCTGCTTCCCTCTCTCTCTCTGTCTCCCTCTCTTCCTATTTGGGATCTCTCTCCCTTCCTCTGTCAAATAAATAAGTAAAATATTAAAAAAAAAAAAAAAGAAATCAGGTCCAGAATATCAAGGAAGTATTGTTGCTTTTAATTATTCAGACAGAACAACAACGAAGACCTACTGGAAGTAGAGGAGGGAGCTAAAATGCTAAAGATATACCAGTAGGGTGCATGCAAAAAATCAGGAAAGAGGTAACAGCTATCCTGACTACAGAGAAAAGAATGACTTGAATCATGTGTACTTCATAATTCCTCTGTGAAAATGAGGCCATTACTGGGACTCAGTGGTATTCAAGATGTGGAGCCTAGATCCTCCTCGGTGCTCTTCCTACAGTCCCCAGAGCGTCTGGTGGGGCAACACGACAGAGAGAGAGAGAGAGAGAGAGAGATAGAGATGGAATGCAGCAGCAGGTGGGTAAATCCAACATACCACGGGTCTAATCCTTGTGCTGGGAGGGTTTTCCTAACTAAGGAAAAGTGCCCTGGACTAACTGGGGAAGACTAAGGGGTCTCTAATACTCAGTGGGATCAAAGGCGGGCCAGCCAGGTGCTGGGCAGTGGTCTATAAAGAGAGCTAAAACATCTTGGGAAGAGACCAGAAACAGGGGCCAAGTTAACTCAGGTTCTTACATACAACTCCTTATATAACTGGTAGCAATATATTGGTTATACTCCCCCCTTGAAGCATACAGTCTTCCAGAGAAAATAAAGGGGGGTGGGAACCCCAAACAAAAGACCAAACACCTCCCTACATTTCCTGTAGCTAAAGTGACCAAAGGTTCCTGCTCAGCCAGGATCCCCAGCTTATGCTTTTTATTTCAGCCTCATTATTTTTTTTTCCTTTTTAAAAATATTATTTATTTATTTATTTATTAACATTTAATGTATTATTAGCCCCAGGGGTACAGGTCTTTGAATTGCCACAGCCTCATTATTAATAACAACTCATTCCTTCTCAAAATGTCCTGGTTCGAATGATAAATTCTATGGTCACCATTTATTTTGTCTACGCAACAAGTTATTCTAACAAAAAGATCAAAACATATGCCTTTCAGCAGAAAATTTATTAAAGGGTAATCAAATAGCACCAGCCGAGGAAAGAAACTTCTATTTCACGAAAGAATACCAATGTGGACTGACTGAGAAAAGTGGAAAAATCCCTCTTTTATAAACCCTAAGGGAATTATTAAATCATACAAGACATCAAATGGAAGTAAAGCCATTAAGTAAGAGTTGATGGGGAGCCAGAGAATCACCCAGTGACAAAGTATCACCACGCGGATGGCTTTTGGAGGCAGGAAGAAAAATGTAGCTTTATAATGGAGGGACATCAGTGCCTAATACCGTGGTGAGCCTCACCATCACTAGCGATGAGCAAACAACATCATTTTGAGTGCATTCTCCTCACATTTAACTTGAATCTAATTGAATCTTTAAATGTAATTTCCAGCTTATAATAAGTTCAGGAGACAAAGGAGCAAGTTAATTCACACTATATAAAGCCACAATCAGGCTAATCTCTTCAACATGCCAATGAAATGCAAACAGGACTCTCCCAATCACAAGAGCCTAAGGGACACAGAAACAAAAGCCATGTGCTGTCTTAAAACCAACCAACTCTAAAGGACATTTTGGAAGAATTTAGGAAGTATGACTATGAACCGGGTATAATGAGAAAAAGGACCGACGATTAATTTGAGATGTAATAGAGTATTATTTACTATGAGGGGAAACATCCTATTTTTTTTTTCTTCAAGAGATGGGTACTGAAATGTGGGCATCTAAGAATATGTAATAATTTACTTTCTTCTTCTGCAAAAAAAGAAGTAGGTACGTGTGCATACACATAGACCCACATATATATATAGTTCAGAAAATCAACTTCTCCATATCCCCATCAGTGGGAAGTGAAACTGTTTAAAGAATAATCACTTGAAGGGATTTAGATGAGTCTGTTCCAGCTGCCCCCCACACCTCGGTCTGGCTCTAGCATCAGGGACGTGCCCAACGGCATGGTTCTACAGTAGATGCTGCCTATACAACAGAATGCTAAGATGGCGGCTTTCCAGAATCCCAATGCTAATGCGGGTCTGAACAAACGGTCTTGAAGAGCTCTTTCCCTAAAGTAGTAGACACTGCAAACATCCTATTCTTGTACTAACTCATGGGCACCACAAAGCTCAACCAAGGAGGGTCACCAGATATGGGAAGAGCCTTGTCTCAAGGACACAAGCACAGCAGCTCATACAGGTGTCGTTAGAATCTCTCCCAGAGTCCATCCCCAGAGTGGGAGGCAAAATCATTTCCTAAGGGGGAGCCCTGACCCTGGTAAAAATGTAATTATTAACACTGGTGCTCTGAGGCCCCAAGACCTCTCTGTAGGTAGAAAAGTCACAGGTGAGAGGTAGAGACTAGAACAGGTGAGGAACGGGGAGAGACAGGATTAACCTCTCTCTCAGAGAGAGAGGTTAGATAGGACGAGAGCTTAGAGGATTTATTAGTTAATATAACTTGATAATGGAGGATTTATTGCTTAGTAAGGGCCAGGAGAGGCAACCCAGTAGTATAGTGGGACGTGCAGAGGAGGAAGAGGAGAACCAACCAGAAGGACAGATGAGGGTGGAGGGGGAAGCAAGCAGATAGGAGGAGACATACTGAGCAGGAACAGGGAACAAGAGATAAAACATAACAGCACCACGGGGAGATAGATGAAATCTGAAATGGCAAAGCAAACAGAAGGACAGAGGGGGCAGGAAGTAAGAGAAAGACAGCTGGTCAAAGGTTGAGGGGGCAGAATTTGGAAGAGACAAGAGCTGACTGCATCCCTCACGTGTGCACTCACAGAAACTCATACAGTAGGGGCTCCAGGGGGAGGGACGAGGACCCAAGGCAGGCAGAGAGCAGAAGAGAAGAATGGCAGAGCCGTGGCGTGGAGGTGTGGAGGAAGGAAAAACAAAGTCGGGAATGAGGAAAGTGCACCTTCCACAGGCACACCAGGGGATTCGTACTAGTTAACATACGACAGGCATGGCATGACGAACCTTCGACGGCACATTCCAGAACTGTGGAATTGAAGTGTACCACAGGAGAACAAGAATGGTCTAGACCAGGCACCATTTCTGCAGCTGGCCTGAATGATAACTTATCTTACACAAATGCCTAGAACGTGAGTAAGAATGTGACCTGTTATATTGAGAAGACAGAACTGAAGAGCTCTTGGATCTTCCAGGCATTCTGGGTGAAGCCAATCAGCCCTGGGGGCTCCTTATCTTCCCCACGGCCCTGCTCTCATCCAGTGGCTCATGCTTTGTATGAACCGGCCTGAAGCTGCTGACGACTTTCAACCCACTCTTCTGTCCACCCAGAACCCACACAAGAGGCAAACGCTGGGTTAACGTGATTAATGTAGACAGGAACCTGGCTAAGTACTACAGAAAGTGCATTTTTTCAGGCGCCTGATTATCTAGATTGCTGACTGCACTGACTACATTAATTCAATGATTGCCAGATCTTCGCTTTCTTTCTGTTAGGCGAGATTTAATCTAGAGAACTAACAAACCTCTCTAGGATGCAAATCTCTCCCAGGACCCACGATTTTGATTGACAGCTCACAGAATAATTTTGGAATGCATGCAAAATGAGACTCACGCGATTTCCATGCAAAGGCAAACCTATCCATCAACATAATAGTGGCTCCCAGAAAGCAGTCAAGGTTCTGTGTCTGGAAACTGGAAACTGGGAAGTCTGACGTGTTAGAGGCCATAGTCGAGCGTATTTTTTGTTTGGAGCTTTTAACGTGTGTAGGTGCTTTCTAGCACATGACAAAAAGATCAGAAATTTGTATGAAAAGTTATTATTCCAGGATTTCGAATTGCAATGGAGTCTCTGTTTGAGATGTGCTGGTCTGCAGTTTGGTGGGAGAGATGGGCTGGTAAAATCAGAGTCCTCGAGTCCTCAATCTGCTTTTCGAACAGAGGACAGTAAAAGAAATACTCTCCCTGACTCATGATGCCAGTCCCTTAGAATATAATGTAAGTGTATGAGGTTGGCACGAGTTTACACGCTAAACTTCTTCCTGGCTGGAGCGAGAACCGATACTGTACGTGAAGCCCAAGAATGTGGAAGCTGTGGGTGCGGAGCACACGGAGCTAGAGAAAGATCCAGAGGGCCTCTTGGGTGTGGGTGAATACTCACTATTTGGTAGAGTCAGACAACTGATACTCTCGTCGTCGATCATAGCATTCCTGGATTCCAGGATCATTCCACAAACTCTTGATTGCATCTACGTATGGATTCTCAAAAGCAGACACCTTCTCCACGTCGACTTCTCGAACCAACTGTGCATGAGCCTGTCAGAAACAAAAACAGTTTTATCTCCCTCCTTTCTGTCACTGAGAACTGCCTCTAGTTCGTGTATTATACCGTGCACCATTGAGATCTTCCTTCATATGCTTTTTTCAAACTGGTTTATCAAAGTCTTGTTCCTGCTCCTGCTTCTCCCCCCGCCCTTACAGAGAATCCAGTCTCAAATCTTTCCCTAGTAGAGTAAACCTTGAGGCTACTTGAGGTTGACTAGAGGAAGACAGGGAAGACAGAGTTTGGCTCCCATCAGAACAGTGAGGCTGTCATGTTACGCATATGAGCATTCCTGGTGATTATCAGAATCCTAAACCAATGTTATTAAAGAGAAAACGGACAGGAATAATCATTCCCTCTGTGTTTATAGTTTACCATCATCAAATACATAATCTACCCAGCCCTTGAGTGTTTATGGCTTAGCAGAGACTTAATCACACTCCTCAACTAATAGGGCTCAGTTTCTATCGTTCCTTTTCAGGATAGGGTATAAAACCCCCAGAAGAACAATTAATATTAATGATGTGAAACACAGTAACCATTCCCCCCCTCCATTCCAATACATCCTCACTGCCAAAGTATTTATTTCATATCTGCCCTGTTGACATTATCAGATTGAGAATTTTATTAAATTTTTTTAATGAGGAAAAAGGACTTTGTTGTTTCCAGCATACAACATTCAGCAGGAAAGAGGTAAGGAGATTTAAAAATTTTTTTCAGCAAGATTGATATCAAAATACTGTATGGTCAACCCTGAAATTAAACAAATTATACCACTGCCTAAAATCCAGTCAAAATAGGGTTCATGGAAGTAATAAATCACCTCCATAACTTGCAATGACATATAGTACATTAACATAATTACATAAAATATGCATGTGAATTATACATACACATAAATATGCAAATAAATATAACTATCATGGAAATTGAAGGTAAATAGCTGATAACATATTTATATACTCTTACTTGCAGAAATAAAAATTTTCAAACTAGGTTAGTGGATGGGCATCATGATCACATGATGACCTAATTATTCATTTCAAAGAGTTTTACGCAGATGGAATTTTAAGACATTTTTAAAATAAGTTTAATCTATGTTAGACCCTGTCTGCTTCCCAAACTTCACTTTTCTTCTCTTCCAAGTGGGAAGAGCCCCATATCATTAGACTAATCTTGACTTAAATAAGGTTTCTAGAAGCCCAACATGAGACTGAGGAAATCATCTTTCTTGTTACCTCTGTTCTGACCTTGCACAATCTAGTAAGTGAGAAATTCTAGCTCTGCTCTGGACCCCAATCTTGGAAAAGGGATCCCTGTAGTTGCTTTCTGTACCTAATCCCCATCCAGGCAAACTGGCTTGTTATTCCAGCAGCAAACCTGTCAGCCTGGAGTCCTCTTTCTGGGTCCCACGCCAAGTGGGCTTACCTTAGTCAAAGGTCCTGTCCAGCAGATATATGTCTCAAACCTCTGCAGGTGTACCTAATGTCAGAGTTTCAACCCCTGTCTTTCTGCTCTTCCTCACTGAAAGTTCCAACTTAGTGTCCTGAGATAGAACAATGATCACATCCTTGGCATGATCCTAAATTAGAGTCCCTTCATTATACGGTCCTCGAGAGGATTCTTGTGGTCTGGGGAAGCAGCTGGGTACAGAAGCAGGGGTCTACAAGTATGCCTTCCCACTGGATATACTCTAAAGACAAGGTTTTGATCTGACTCTACTTCTGATAACCCCGGGTAAATTGCTTACTCTTTCCAAATATTATTTCTGGTGGGGAACATTCTGCCCCACCGGCCTCAGGCTGCTTTGTACTGTGTTACAATACAAAGTGTGGTCATTCTCGAAAGGTGGCGTTACACGGGAATTTGAGAGAAATGCACATCCTCTGATCCTCAAACCTGGAGCATCAGAAACTCTGGAAATAAGGCTCGGCAATCTGTTTCAAGATTCTGATGCGTGCAAAAGTTTGAGAACCAATGCAAACTACAAAGCACACAGATGCTAGTTGTTCTGATCATAATTAATTGCCTTGCTGGCCAAAAATTGTTATGGGAGGCTAAAGAGAAGAGGCTCACAGAGGCAACAGTCATGACAAAGCAGATGTCTTAAGAGACAGGAAGCCACGGAAATGACTCCCATGGGCTAGATACAGGCAATAGGGAGTAGTGGGGACTGCGGCATGTTATGAATACGTTCCCTAATTAAAGACCGCAGCTGCTGCTTAGCCCCAACCAAATGCTACCATTGGCAAGGTGGGCCCGTTGTTGCCAGCTCTTCCGATTTCTCAAGGAAGCCAAAAAAAGAAAGAAAGAAAGAAAGAAAGAAAGAAAGAAAGAAAGAAAGAAAGAAAGAAAGAGAAAGAAAGAAATGAATCTAGGTTTTCCTGTGAATTATCCCTAATTTTAGATCTTGGCAACCCTATAAAAGATACATAAAAGCTAGTTCGGGGCCACTGATTTGCAACATATGTTCTAAAAGATTCTTTTCTATTTGCTTCCCTGGTAAGCTTGATCAATAACACTGTCCCACACGAGCTAGAATACAGTAGCCGGCTACTGGCGAACACAGAGCAGGTGATTTTCAGTACTTTTCCACAAGAACACTTAGACAAATGATTATACGATCCATAGGAAGAAATGGTGGGACTCTCACTCTGAATAGGGTAAAAGCTACGTGGTAACACGTGTTAGTATAGGTACTATTTCTACAACGCGTTTGATACTTACTACCCTGGGCCAGTCATAGCATTTGGAAGGAGTCCTCTTTCTGTGTCTAGAGAAGTTGGCGTCTGCCAGAGAAAACAGCTTCAACATACCAGACACTTTTCACTATTATGATTAAATGTTTATTGGACCCCAATGAAATGCTAGGTAATACAGCAGTTACAGAACTAGACAGCGTTCCTGCGGGGGGCTGGGGAGGGCAGTTCATATGAATGGCAACCAAACAAAGCACAGGATTATGGGCTCCAGGAGTAGGAACAAGACAGAATATTTGCATTTCCATCCTTAATTTCCATTGACTGTAAGGGCATTTTAATTGAGACAACATTGTCAACAGTGTATAGTTGTAACTTTCCACCAAGAGCCGGCTGCTGTAAAATGAGACTACTTTCTATTGCCAGAAAACTCTTGTAATTTCCTCTCCTGGTCTATTTCTGCTTGCTTTTACTTACAACTGGAATGCCTTCCCTCTTCCTTTCTGTACCTCCTTTAGCTTTTGCTCCAGAGCTATATCAGAGGCTACCTGCCACAGGAAGTTACTTCTGATTGTCTGCCCCTTCAAAACAAGAGTTATCTTTGCAGCCTTTGTACCATGGAACGTCTGTATTTTGTTTTATGTTAATAGTTACATCTTGACTTACTCCCCTTCTAGACTATACAGTGAGCAAAGGACTGGAGGTTACAGACTTTGAGTTCGTTTGCGGGCCCATACAAGAAATACTTGCCTAATTTAATTGCACTTAAAAAGTACGCAGAAGCTCAATGCCTAGTCCTCCAAGTCAAAGTCAGTTTCTCAAGGAACTCTTCCACCCATTACTACTCCCGTATAACTACACAATCCTTAGCAGCACTTATTGGAGTAAATGGTGCGCATCTATGTGTGTGACACCCATTCGTGTCTTCCTCCACGCTCACAGCAGAACTTCTAAGACAGGCTCAACGTGGCTCGGGGCCTCGCAGCATGCCTGTCACTTGGGAGAGGCTCAACAAATTTTTGTTGGATGCAGGATGCAAGGAAGGAAGAGTAGAAATTGTTCTAACCTTGCAACCAGGACATCTAACTTCCAGTCCTGGCTTTACCCATGACACTAACTGGCCATTATCTTCACTTAGGGGAAAGCCCATTACTTTTTTAGAACTTCATTTTCCTGGTCCATAAGATGATGCAATCAGACCAAATCACTTAAGGACTTACCTAGCCACGAGCAGGAGGATTGCGAACACAGAGGAAACGCATCTACAATGCAGAGAGCACCAGGGAGCATGTCATATCATTTACTGAAACAAGAGCTCACTATTTCCAACCAGCGCCAGAGAAAACAGGCAGATATAGTAAATCTGTACATGAGTAATGAATGCTACATGGGGACTGAGGAAGCAGAATTCAGTACAGACACAGAACAGACAGGGTGTCAGAGAGAAGGATTTAGCTGGCAGGTGGAGGTGAAGACCCAGGTTGCTTCTAGGTGGGAAGAGTAGATGAACCGTGGCTTGGTAGACAAGATAAACATGGCACTTTCTGTTAAATGTGAAAAAAACAGTGTAGTGAGGAAGTTTCATGCTGACTCTTAATCCAAATTAACCTCCACAGGGAACGCAGCAGTGCTAGTCTCAGCTTCGAACCCTAACTCAGAAGGCAACCTCCACCATCTTTGGAAGAAAATCGCTCTCAGAAAACACAGGTCATCGCTTGGGTTTCATCCGGGGCAGAATTTCTAAGTCACTTTTCCTGCCTCTCGGGCTTCATTGTTTAATTCCATCCTTGCTGTTTTGGAAAATGACATCCAAATATAATCAACTGTAATTTGCATTTATATAAGAACGTTCTCTGAAGTTCCCTAAGTTATTTAAAAGTATGACAGCATTTTTACAAAATACACTTCGAATTTTAAAATTGCTTCTCCAAATGTCCCCAATGAAAAGTAAATCCTCTCAATTTTTTTTGTAAAAAGTATTCGGTATGTGGAAAGAGTATTTTGTTATATGTGAGAGTAGGAACTCTATTTGTTTTTCCTTATTTGTCCAAATGTCCAGTGTAATTAATTGTGAAAATCACAAGTAATTATGCAAAATTACGTAATTATTCATGAAAAAAAGCCTAACTCTGATGAAAAGGAAAGAATTCATTTTTTTAAGAGGTTTTATTTATTTATCTGCCAGAGAGAGAGCAAGAGAGCACAAGGTGGGGGGGGCGGGAAATAGAGGGAGAGGGAGAAGCAGGCTCCCTGCTGAGTTAGGAGACCCATGTGGGACTCGATTCCAGGACCCT